TGAAACTATTGGACCAAGGTTTGATACCAAGGTATGGGTTGAATAGTCTGAGGACTAAGCTAACAGACTTTGTCTTTAGGGGGATACCTAGTAGTCATGTCCATGCATGATTCCCAAATCATGCAGGACAGCGATGCTCACAACTCTTGTTGAAGCAGGATTTTAGCTGAGAAAGTCGGGAAATAGGATTGTGGATGGGTTACCTGATGATGAGCGGAGGGCTGCCGAGTTTCTTGTGCAAGCAGGGTGCTGTATGCACAAGGATCTTAATTCTGTCAAAGGCGGGAATACGGCGATGATGGATTCCTGGGAACTGAATGGTTCGAGCGCCCAATGCTGCTGGCCAATAAAGATAACACCGCCACATTACAACAACCATCGGAGACAGTAACGGAGGTGCAGCTAAGGGCGCTTGAAGTCTCTGGCCGAGGTGGCGTACAGACATGTAGTCTTGCTGGTGCAATTTTCAATAACAAGGACGACAAAAAGGGGCAACAAGACACGCACCGTTTCTATTTCGAACGAATCAAGGGCATCCTATCCACATTCCCTGATACCAGCAACACTCGTTATCAGTCGTATTGCGAAGCTGCTGCAGAGTTGCTCACTTACCTCAATGAGTACATCACATTTCTGGAGCAGGTCAGGGACAAGAAAGAGAAACAAAATTTCAGCCATATCGAGGAGAATCTGTACAATGCCCTTCATGATGGCCCCACACTCACTGAACTGGCCGTTCTCACCTTGTATGCCGCTGCAATCACGCACCCATATATGCGATCTGTTCGTGGACCTGGAACCGAGAACATCAACATCCTTGATCTTGGTCCTTTGCATGATGAGGTGATGAATCACCTCGAACTTATTATTGAGAACCCGCACCTGCTGATTTCTCCGAACGCCTCATTTAAACTCGGTGCCCTCGATGGACAGGAATGGCAAAATCCTGGTGCCATTGAAGCTGTTCACAAGTTAGCAGAGGAGGGCAAGCTGCCTCATCTTTGCGAGGCCTTCATTGCATTTTGTGGAGGTGCACTGGGGACATGGGAGAGATTTTCGATTGAATTTGAGGCGGGAGGTATAATTGATTGATCTTCGAAAGCCGAACGTGACAGTGCCTTCATGGCATCAACAAACGATGCAAATGAGGGTGCGCTAGGTTCATACCGGCTTCACGCATGTCAAAAACCACTCACATCAATGCATTTGCGCAACGCACAAGCACAATTCAAACAGAACGAGACTCAAGCATTCATCGATGCCACATTTACAGCTGTAGATCATCAGTACACCATGCGGAAAGCTCGTGAATAGCAGTCCGCGGGTCTTGAGGTCGAACAACGTGCTGATCTTGTACGACATGATCAGCAGGAAGTTGCGGCAAAGAGATGGAGGCGGACAGAACGCACTGAGAAGCGCGCTGAAAAGGGGGCTGCTGAGGACGCTCGGCTGGATGGGGTAGCCATGGTGGTGATGTCCAAGAGTGAATTTCTCATGCTCTCGAACGCTGTGCTAACTGATCAGGTCAATCTCTGTCGACGACTCGATCCTCTGGTGCCAAAGAGATATACTTTGAAAAACAAGCAAGCTCTTGTCAGTGCAATCATGGAGTCTATTGCACGTAGTACAGGCTCGATGTCTCAAACTTTGGAGTAACGGAACAGGCCGGCTGATGATATAATCTTTCTCTTGTATTCTAATTACATTTTCATTCACATTTGTGTTGTTATTCTTATCTTAATCACGTACTTTGCACTTTGTACCATCCTATGTTCACCCATATAGTGATGGGAAAATTATGTAAGCATCACGCTTTGGAAACAAGACTTGCACCTACCCAGAGGATGTATTCCTTGGGTTTTGCATGGACCGATAAATAATAAATAGCATCTATTGGAATAAAATTCACCCTATCCGAATGTAATAAATTAATCATCAGAGAAATCAATGCAAAAGGCGACGAAGACTCACACATCGCTTGAAGAGCTTGCTTCTCTCTACGGTCGGTCTGAGGGCGTAGCGGGATTCGCAAACTTGCTTATAGCACTGAAACGCGTCTTCGCCATGTCAACAATCATCTTAGCAATCTTCAGGGCGACTGAATGCTTCTTTGTCTCGGTATGACGATGACGATTCCATATAGTGCTTAAAGGCTCACCATCAATATATTCATCGGTGGTCGGTCCGTCAGTGCTAAATGTATATGTCTTTGGGACTGGAATATCAGGACAACGTCTAACAACGTGCAGATATTGAGGATATGGAAGCGACTTCGTTTAATATTTGATGAAGCAGGAGAGTATCTGGTTTCGGAAGGCGCAGAACAAGGGACTTGGATGTTGTGGAGTCGTCCCAGCCAGAGAGCTAGTACTTGATGACAAATCGACGACGAATAATTAAGCTCAAAAAGGATTGATACATACTACTACTACTAGTACTAACATGGAAGCGATCACGCTCGTATGAACCACCTGAAGGCCTGACAGATATATCAGTATATATGATAGCTAACAGCAACAGATGAGTCAAAAGCCGACGTATCACTCACCTAAAACGGTAGAGAAGCGGAATGGAGAATCCCATCCGCGCCGATAAGGATGTGTAAGTTAGTTTCTTTGTTTTCTGCAGTCCGTGTGCCCTAATTATGGTGTACACAGCTCACCCAAACTACTCGCTATAAAAGCGATGGACAGCGGCCTACATGCACTCCAGACGCTCCATTCCCATATGGTCATTGTGGATTACTTTCAGTGGTGGATGCCATTGTCGTTCCAAGCTGATCTTTACTGCTATTTTATAGGTTCGTACAGAGCAATTGGGATGCCAATGGTGACGCCTAAATAGATTTGAATGTTGCCTTACAGCTGCAAGCTCTGCTGCAGTGGTGTACGACTGGGGTGAGCGGGATAATATGTTTCGAGGACTATTGACATTTATAAAGTATTTAAGCATTAACATTCAGACAAGAGGTAAGTTGATGTCATGACCTGCGTATCTCGCTAACAACGCTTTCACAGTTCGAACTGATCTTGGTGAGCAAAATCCTATATTAGAACAAAACAAGATGATGCAACTGACTCGGGGCAGAGCCAACGTTGGTCCTTCATGACCGTTCTTTATATTTGTGTACATTATTGTTACGTAGAGCGCAGTTGGCATGTTGTGCTGACTCCAACATGCTAGGTGCGCTATATTGGGATACTATATTCTGTGTACGTCTGCGAGGCTATCTACATAACACTGCAATGTGCTAACCAGTCATTTCTCGCAACCAGCATCAACATCCTGGGTATGTGACCTCAAATGTGTTCGCTCCTTCTGACTGGCAGCATGCAGGGAATTTCCCGATATTCTTGATTACCGATGAAGTGCGTATTCTCTACTGATACCTACCATTCCCATTCAATTGCTGACCACGCTCCTATGTAGGGGTGAGTGAGATTTTTGGCTGGGATGTGACTTCAAGATAACCACTTCAACAGCTGTGAGTTCATTTGAAGTATTTATTCCACCACCAAATAATTGGGGTTTCAGGCACTATCATTTGGTACATACAGGTGTGGACCCCTGTCATCGTAAATGCCATGCTGGGCGGTGAGCTCACCCGTGGTTTCCTTACTGATATTGACCTGACTGAAATATCATTCAAGTCATCATGATTGCTCGGATATATGCCATGTATCAGGGATCCAAAAATTTGCTCATCTTTCTTGTTGTAGCCTTGCTGACTTGCACAATCGCCTCCGGATTTGTGGTGGGATTTATTGACTGGTTTTTTCAGCGTGTAAGCTTTAATCTTGATGAAAGCCTGGAGCACAAGAGACTCATGGACATTTAGCAGACGAAGTTGTCGCTTTCGGCTGCCCTACCGCATCCATGATAAATCTGAATTTTGCGAGTATGATATCCACCACTGTATGGGAGATCATCGCCCTGTTTCTTACAGTCTGGAGTGTTATGAAGCACTTCCGTGAAGTGCGACAATCGCTGATAGGACTGACCGCTGGGGACTGTTTCAGGATATTATTAGAGAGTCACACATTTTACTTTCTAGCATGAGTTTGGTGATTTGAATGTTATTATCTTGTTTTACTGAAGTTCCGCATTTGCTAGCTTTGTTACTGTGGCTTGCTTCACGCTTGCCTCACTGTCTCTAGTCACTGTACGCCAACCCGTTATTGGCATCAGCAGCTGGCCATTCTCTCATCATTTATCTGCAGGGCACATCTTCCATGGGACGTACTGTTTACTTTGGCGTTTGTCAATTGCCAAGGCATTGCAGATGTTTGTGCTGGGACCGCGTCTGGTTCTCAGCATTCGAGAACATCACACCAAGGTTGTGGCCAGGGCTGACGGGGGAACAGGCATGACAACTATTGCTTTCCATGCTGGTGGAGATGCGTCGACCGGCAGAGATGTGTAGCACAATTTAAACGATCAACCACGGTACTGTGCAGGGGAGCATGCATATTTAATTGTTTCGTTGTGATATTTAACCTCATCTCGTTATGTATTGGGTGTTCTGAAGTGATTTGGAGGATAGAATTTCTTGTACTTACTTTCTGCTACCTGCGACACGGAGTCTTTTCTAGATACGGAGTAGCCAGTTAATGTTTCAAGTGAAGCTACGAGTCCAGCTTTTCAAATATGCTATTGTCAGTCCTCGGAGACTTCTCAGAATTACTGAGAATATACAACATTGAATCGCATTGCAATGTGAAATAACCGTCTTTCTACGTTGATAACCATTTGTGCCTTCCGTACATTATTATACATCTGATTACTCGAGTGCACAACTAGCAATAACCACACGTGGGCGAGACGTACACTTACAGCTGTTTGCATAAATGATGACAGTACGTGCCTTCTTGAGAAAGAAGAAGAAATAAATAATCTAACCTAGTATTTCATCTCGCACTGCAACAATCATTGTTGATGTATCGAAAACTAAGCCGCTGTAGAGACTCGCGTTTCTGTGGGCTCATATGGGCTCATATTACAAATTCTGATGACTGGCCTTCACGGCACAACTCGCACCATCATCCACTATGACTTCCACCATCATGCGCACCACTTCCCGCGAAACGCGCCATAGGCGCGATACTTTCCCGCACAACACACAGCATTCCCGCGCGCGCGCTTTCTCGCGCTTAAGCGCACTATGTCGCACAGCATCCAGGAGCATCCATCCATCATCCAACCAGTCCCTCAGTATGTCCCTTTTCGTTATCTGACCATATTTAGCATATTACACTTCCCATTTCGTTATGCACCCTTACTTTACATCACCTTACCTCATTTACATACTTAGAGCGCTCCCTATTCAGCTCCGAGCCCTGGGAGAGCGCTTAGCTAGAACTTACATACTCTGATGTTTGTTTTACACCCCACTAACCCACCAGCTTCCTACCACTCAGTATCTATCACCAGTTAGTTCCATGCAATGCATGTGTCCATCATCGTTTTGAGGCCCTAGCATCAGTCTATAGCTAGCGGGCACTATCAGTATCCGTCTAGATCCGCACTTTTCCCCTTATCAGTCTCAGTATCCGTCGTCTACACTTGTGCACCACTTGCACTACCTTCCCGCGCTCCGCGCTCTGCGCACTTTCGCATTCCGCTTTCCCGCGCGCGCCTTCAGCGCATTTCTCGCGCTTTCACCGCCATTCACCAGGGTTGTTCAGCATCATTCCATGGATCCTTGCTTTCCTTGCTTCCCCTTTAGGGTCGAACATTCTTGCATTCTGCGAGTATAGCAGCTAGGCAGAGCTGAGACTCACTTATACTGGCTGAGCACTTTTCTTATATGTGCCTGCCAGGTTGTGATACCCACACCGCGACGTCAAACTTGCTGCCATCAATCTCTACGAGCGTTGACATCTCTCTCTCCACGATATTCTTACATGTGTTGGATTCTCAGAAAGTACTTTCTGGCGTGTCCTTAAGCTTTGGCGTGAGACAGGCGATGTCGTTAGCCCCACCTGTAGCCTCCGTGGGCGCCCTCGTATTCTCCACTGCAACGATGTCCTTTATCTCATCCGTCTCATCCGTCACCGTCCAGGGTGGTTCTTGGATGAACTGCTCGAGCTACTTGATACCAATCGTTTCATATCTGTACACTACACCACAATTCATCGTGAGCTGGAGCATATCGGTGTTTCCTTCAAAAAGCTCAAACGGATCGCAAAGGAAAGGAACGAGCAGCGGAGAATGGAGTTCATTATTTGGATGAGTCAATATCTACCTGAGGAGATTGGTTTTCTCGATGAGACTTCGAAAGATGAACGCACTCCAGGGCATTTGCATGGTCGGGCACCCAAAGGACAGCGTGCCACTAGCCGCCAGGTCTTTGTCCGTGGACAGCGTGTTTCTGCGTTGGGGCTCATGACCATTGATGGCATGGCTGCATCAATGGTTGTTGAAGGTTCATTCACAACCGTGAAATATCTTGAGTTTCTCCAGTCTACAGTGGTGTGTAATTGATTCAAACTACATCAGTAAATCACTCGGTTCTGTACAGAACTGTACAGTGTGACAGGCCGACAGCTTGGTCCCTTCTATACAGCTCACTACAGTACTACTTCACTCTGTAGATCTCTGTACAGATAACTCACAGACACCCAGAGAAGGGCTCTTGTACCAATAAAATATAATTGTGCCGCTGCTGCTAGCTGCTCGACTGTTCACACATGTACACACAAGCAAAAATCGACAAAATCAATAATAGCATTCAATCAGATGCATACTACACTAAACAACGCTCGAGATAGAATCAATGCGGGGCAATAATGTCAAGAATAGAAAGACGTCAATCAAGGATGATTTTCAAATGAGAATGTCTCGAAGCGTCATTCACATTGCCGTCGACTTTGTAGGACTCCGCCCTGTGAGAACTTCATCAGCATGCAATACTTCAAAAGCAAAAACTCCTTGCCATCCAGCTGCAGCCCAGGAACGAAGTTGCCGCGCTAATTTCGGTCCATGGTAAGGGTCACGCATGATCGATTCCAGGTTAGTGAGCATAGCAGTATACAAAGAAGAGTATTCCTTTGCGGTGAACTTCGGAAATGATTTTCCGCTGCCGTTCTTAGCAAAGCCATCTAGGACACAATTAACCTATCAAACATGTGGTCAGTGTGTTGTTAGTAGGACATGGAAGGACGAAAAAAAATACCGCGGTGCAAACCAGTGCCAAGCACTCTAGCGGTAAAGACTTCTGGAAGACCTCAGGTCTCCTGCGAGCAACACGGTAAGACCCTGTATAGAAGAAAGAGATAGAAGCCTCGCGGAGCACAGGATGAGAGGCGTTTTCGGTTTTCCCATTTTCATCTACACCGTTGCGTAAGAAAATAGTGTCTTTGAGCAACTCCGTGGCAGCTTCTTCAACCCAGGCAGCACGTTGTTGGGGTGGGACATGAGATGGAGGTATGAGGTCGTACATGGAGGGCACAATACTGGCAACGGTCTTCTTGAGGTCCGAGCGCCACGTTGATAAATCCTCATACAGCTAACATAACAGCACGTTAGATATCGGATGCGTGCCAATGAATGCACACACCAGTTTTGCCATATCATGCTTGCGATCAGGCCAAATACCTGGTAGACACGTCAGTAAAATATCTCGACAGCAAAAAAGACCTACCCTCTTCGACTTGTTGACCACCCTCGAGCCATTCGACGAGCGAAGCCATGAGTATCTCGTTGATGGAACCTGTCAAATCTTTCGCTAGTTTGGGGAATGGGTTCTCTATCGCGTGTTGGGCGTGGCACTCGCTCTTCGTAACCTCAAGGAAGTTTTTCCATCGTGGACCATACCAGCCTAGTTGAGTGGCTCTAGGCCCATCACCTGATTCCTTCACTTTTGCTGATGTAGTCTTGACGTTTGTGTCCTTTGACTTGGAAGACTTTGTCTCAGCGTGACGTAGGAGGTCAAGAACTTGTGGATCAGGAAGTCGAGGGCGTCCATTTTTCTGGTGGTGGCGCTGTAAGACATCATCTGGCTTAGGTTCAGCCGGCTGCCAAACAAACAGAAAATTAGTAGGCTTTGATAGGCAAGTGGAGGGTCAGGATAGTATTTGGTTACTTCACCGCCCTCATCCATAATTCCACCTCCCATGATATTCTCTTCATCACCGAATTCACCGCCATCATCACCAAAGTCAACTACCATCGCCTCGCCTCCGAGTTCTGGTTCATGAGAAATGTCGTGCTCGATATTCACTGGGTCCAAGGGTGGAATGAGGGAATTAAGCTTGATGATATCTTCTAGCCACGTGTTGCAGCCAGACCGGGGCTGGCTCATATGGCGAGCGACAGATGTGTGGTCCTTCAGAATTTTTCCGCACGATGGACATTGAGGCATAAGGGTAAGGGTGAGACATACGACAGTCATCATTAACCTTCTGATCGATATTTCGGCATTTTCCGATACTGACTTAAACAATACTACCATGAACATAACCAAACTGCGATCTCTATCAGCACGCGCATCAGGGATGGACGAGCAGATCTCCCGTTTACATCATCGCGAAGGACCATCGGGTGCATATGACATATACAATGTTCTTCATTCTGTCAATTCCTTGGTGATGTCGATCTTGAAATTCGCTTTTTCGATGTACCTTACATTTTAACAGTCCATACAGGATCCAACCGACTCTGAGGCCAACCTGGTGTTGGACCTTGTAAGAGCTAAGCGGCAAGTTTATCTAGCGCAAAAGACACTGGCGGACTGTATAATACGCGAGAACGAAGTGTTGGCAAACTTACTCCGATATCGAGCTGAAGAAGCAGAAAAACGACTGGAGGACGCGGATGTTGGATTAGGGTGCATGCGAATCGCATTTAAGAAGAATGGATGGAGTCATTTTCCTCATCCGACTCAAACACGCGATGGCCGCCTACAAACTGGTAAGCTAACGATACGAAACTTGATGCAGGAGGTTGATTATCCCAGTAGAAGATACTGAACGTGGTCGTCACCTCACCGTCCAGCTTGATTGATCCGAGCGCTCCCTCTTCACATTATTATGATACTCAACTTATGTATATGCTGTTGTTGCATGAATATTTCGCTATGCAGTGTTATTTGTTGTATGTCCTCTCAGGCGTGAATGAACATATGCGTCTCACTCAGATCTTAAACTATCTTCACTGCGGCTGTTTAAGTTTGATCATTCAATTTGAAGCCAAGTCATATCGTACGAAACTGAGTCGTATAGACCTAGAGAAAAGTACTATGTAACTACTACCTATATTAGTTGATAAATTCTTGAATTATACTGTAGAACTGTGAGTAACTGGAGACAATGTATACTTTGCAGCCACTGTTGGCTGTGACTTTGGCGGAACTGTGGACTCTGTGGCTCACTGTCGTGGGAACATGATTTGTGTACATTCTGTGGAGAAATTTGTGATTTACTGATGTATCCTAAATGTTGAACATTCTGACAAGACTTAGCTTCCTATGTGCTCACCCTATCCTGGTCCTCTGTCTGTTCTTGTGATGGACAATGCAAAAATCCCATCATGAGGAGGGTGTTGCTGAATTGATAGAAGCATATGGTAAACTCCTTTGTAGCATGATTGTAAGCTTATTCAATCGTTCAATTGAAACTTTCGTAGGTGTTCGAGTCGAATATCTCCCACCTTACTCCCCCGACTTCAATCCAATTGAGGAAGCGTTTTCAAAGATCAAGGCTTTCATTCGTCGTTACCAAGACTATTTTCTTGCATCAAATAGTATCATTTTTGACATGTACGAAGCTATGAGTATCATTACGGCCTCTGATGCAGCAGGTTATTTCATTCACGCAGGTTATTTCTAGTTCATGGCTTTCAAATTGTGTCCCAATACAAGTACATGACAATAACAATACAGAGCAATCTGAACTTCTATGCGAGAATCAGTCTGAATCAGTCCTTCATAGCCCATCGTGCGACAGCGTCTTTCATTGCAGTGATTTCACCGTTCTTGAAACCCATCTCCTTCAGCTCAGAAACAATGATATACCTGATGGTTCGCATCCCCGTATAGCCATTGTCAGCGAGTTTGGTGAGTATGTCCTGCGAGAGTTCAAATGCAATGCAGAAGTCTGCGAGGGACATGTCTGGACCGGGCCTTGCAGAGACAGAAAGGAGTGGGATGTCAATGGTGTGTGTGTTGGCAATATGGTCTATGGGAGCAGTGAGTAACGGAGGGTGGGTGCTGCAGCAGGTCGTAGATAGCTAAAGAAGTCGTTTGGAACATTGAAATTGATTGTCAGAGTATTCGATGCAGATGGGGCAGATTGTGTGCCGTTTCGCTGAGCGAGTTGGCGCTGGATCAATGGAGCAGTGTCGGATAGGAGATTTGATGATAGTCCATCGAATTCTTTGTGGTTGGGCGGTTTTTCGATTGTTGTAATTGGAGGTTTAGCGGCCAGTGCAGCTGCCCATACTGATATATGCCGATGAGAGAGTGTGAAATGGGCACTATTGTCAGGTAGGATGTAGCAATAGCCAGAACTGAGGCAGCCAGGTTTGTTGCACGCGTATCGATTTTGCAAGAGCTTCATCTGCGCTGAAAGCTCGATGTTGAGTGGGAGTTCACTAGGGTCCTTCTTCTATGTGAACGAGAGGGATATCCAGCAAGGTCCGAGTCAGTCATGACAAACAAGATAGCAAATGAGTAGTATATGACTTCTCGTACCTTCTTCTTCTTCTTTTTCTTCCTGGTGTTGCTATCACTCTTGCTATCGGTGCCCTGACTTGCATCGCTGTCCCCACTCGAGTCATCGCCGTGTTTTCGTTTCTTTTTGGGCTGTAAACTCAGAATCAAAGAGCATATATACATGTACCATACGAACCGTTAGTGGATCAGGTTTCTTCAAGGCCTCGATGACAATCTTTGCTGCAGGAGCCTTCATTTTCAACACACACTCGAGCATATGATCATATTCTGATTGTTTCTTCAAGGACAATGACGAGGTTTGGTGCCGGGCAACTGTGAATGTGACTTTGTAGTCGTCGTAGGCGAGTTTCTTCGGTTTCAGTGCTTCTGAGATATATTTCAGTATTTGGTGGGCCTTGATGTAGGAAGTTGATGCAAACTGATACACAAACGCCTACAACGCTCATCATAACACGTGACTTCATACTTACATAATCTAGACCTTATGCGCTCCGTGCTTTGTCTGTTGTAACACCTCAGTTGCTTGTATAGCCAACTGAGGTGAGATATATTCATTGACTACCTATTTACCTAACTAACAGTGTATATAGTATATCTTCTATAGGTACATATCAATACAGTTGCTTGTATAGCCAACTGAGTATATCTTCTATACTTGAGGGTATCAAAAGGTTCATCATTCGAAAGCTTGATGATTGCAGGTTCTCCACTTCTCTTCGCTTTCGGTTTCTTCATTTCAGTGTAGGAGAACATTACGAGAGTATACAAGATTGAGACGACGAGTGGTAAAGGTACTGACAAGGTCTTACAGTCAGCCTTCAGGTATTCAGAATCAATGGCAAATGAATATGTTACCCTTCCTTAGGCTTGAGAGGGCGACCAGGCTTGCGCTTCGTAATTTCCGGTGAGTCTACTAGTTCATCGAAGGTGGATTCCACGACAATTGTTTCATCCTCAGGATTGTGCAGGTCCCTGACAGCTGCTGTTATCAAGTCGTCGTCGGAGTCCATAGAATCAGATGAAAAAGAGTCAGGCATATGTAGTTTCAAGACAGCTGGAGCTAGTATGCGTGATAGGATATGTTATTTGCTCCTATGTATGTACGATTTATTTATTTCTTCTTCTTTCTCAAAAAGGCGCGTACTGTCATCATTTATGCAAACAGCTGTAATTAAATAGTGTAGAGGTCTCACTGGAAACAGATAGGCTAACTCATGCTATAACAACTACTCACTTGCACACTGCAGTTACCACATACTACGACAGACAAGTAAGGAGTGCCGCACCTTGTTACCAGATCATCACGAATCTGTATCTATACCCAGTTCACATGTATGCCAGCCTATAATAACTATGTCACGTCAGAAGGCCATCGCCCCACCCCTCCTCACGTCCGTATGCAATATCTCGTGTCCCCTCACAAAAAATCCCCAACCCAAGAAAGAACCAGCACACTACTTCGCCTTGAACCCTCCTCAAGTTCCCTCACCCTCTCCTCCCACCCGCACTCCTCAATCCGTGCCTCTAGCACACGTATCTATTCGAGGACGCGCTGCGTGAGGTGTTTGGCTCCTGTGTCCTCTGTTGTGAGTTCATGCTCGCCATCCCCCACGACCAGTTCACTTCCGCTAGTCAATGTCGCCAGTCCGCTCTCATCACACCCCTCCGTCCTATCCTCTGGAGCCCGAGACATAGCAATCCTGGCTATAAGGTCCAACTACCCGTTCCATCACCCGTAAGAGTCAATAATACTTTGTCAGAGACGGTGGAGTGGGGCACCACCTAGCAGGGGGTGATCGAAGTAGAGAGCCAGTTGAGACCATCGCTGCACACAAAAACACAAGGCACTCACCGCCCCGTCAACCCAGCAACCTCCTGCAGATCTTTATACGCGTACATGAGTCACCCACCTGTGTCTGCGAGGGATATAGCGGTTGGAGATGTAGGCTCTGGGAATTTGTCAGCTGTTCGCTGGTTGAGGAATATAAGAAAGAGGGACTAGGATCGGATCCATAACACCAAAATACTCACTTTCCGTGCTGGCAGAAACAATATCATCCATGTCGCTCTTCTGCTTTCGTCCCCGCTTTTCCAACCTCGCCCACATCTGACATCTTTAGATGAAACCCAAGTCACGAACTACGCGGACGCCGCGGTCATCTTAGCTGCCTTCCTTACTGACTAGTGGGACCACCTTGCGCAGGAGGGCCATCCGCCTTTCGTTTCCCTTTATGGTCACGGGGTGCGTCGAAGTTTCAATGCTCTCAGGCAACACAGCTTTTGGTATCTCTGTCAATGGTAGCACACGCAGGAACTTCAAAGTAGATGTGTGAATGGGACGTTCGTTCTCTGGCCCAAAAGTCCAGCTATGTGTGCATCAACGAGATACTCAATACAATCATTGATCGAACTCACAGTCGCAACAGGACTTCCACCTGCCACCGGAGTGCTGTTGTCCAGTCGCTTGGAGTACTCTGACGGATGGAAGAGGCTCCCATGTACATCTCGCACGTTCGGCACCACCACAGGTACATCGTCCACGCCGTGGAGATTGATCACTGTTTTAAGACGTCCTTGCAGATCAAGAATGCCATTGACAGTCCAGCTGTGAACCTCTGCTTCATTCGGTCCCGTGATCCGACGCAGCACTTGCCCTTTCCATCTGTGGAGGCGATAACTGAAGCCGTCTCCTTACCCGAGAAGCGCTGCTTGAGAACATTTGTATCTATATCCATTGACTTCCCTCCGTCGAGAATACCCACCCCTGGTAAACGTGACATCCGTGTGTGGCATGCAGATGTCAGAATGTGCTGACACCCTGAATGCAGAACTCACTTTCGAAATCCTCCAAGGAGAACTCCGGGACAAACGAGAGATGATAAATGTTTTCTACCGATTGTGCGAAGTCACACGGATTGATCACGAGAAGAAAGACGTTGACTGCTTCAACTGTATCGAGAAAGCGGGAAATCTAAGTGAAACATAAACGGCAAGGCATCACTTCTCCAGAGAAGCTTGTCATACCTCATCGACACGAGCACCGAGTTGGCTCTCGTAATTCATAGCAGCTCCCGCTTCCTCATGCGCAAGTCCTCCCACTGTGGATCTTGATGGCCCATGCCTGCCCTGCTATTAGCGGCGATGCATTCAGAGATGAATGTCACGTACATGAAGCTTGGGACAGCCACTCGTCTGCTCCTGGCTAGTGCTCGTCGTCCAATATCTTGCCAACTCCAGGAAGTGCCAACGTGAGGTGGCACACCTGAAAGTTGTGGAGCGGGCGAATAAGGGAAGATAGACATACAAGCCGATCGTGCCGACTACACGGTGGCGGTTGTCGTAGGCCTGTGTCCATAAGACATTAACCCTGAGAAGTTAACAATCTCCACATCTTTTTGCCGTCCAGGGATTTATCGTCTGTGAGATTGTTGGCAGGCAGAAAGACAATAAGTCTAGTTAGTCTAATTTAAAGTGTGACATCATGGCGCAGACAATTGCAACATTGCAACAGTCTCGAAAAGAATTGGCTGATTAGGCACAAGTTGTATGAGCCAGGAACTAGGAGATTCGTATGTGGCTTGGCAATATGGGATGACACGCGGATGCCCGAAGAAAACGAGAGAGGTTTTAAGAGATGGGAACACGTTTGAGTTCGACAAGAGGCTAGCCCTCCACGGGGATGTTGGTGAAGGAGTCAACCGCTTAAGCGCTAAACTGATCCGAAGAAGATGGAAACTCCACGGCCTGTCTGCGACAGTCTGTCTGGACTCTGCATTGAGATCTGCTATCAAACGGAGTTTCAATGAACCATGCGACACTGCCACTGCAGCGAGTAGCTGAAGCGGCGCTGACGCCAATATTAATGTTGGGAAATCTTCAAAAATTTGGCGGATCCAAAAATGTACTTTGCTTGAGGGCTTCTCCCACTACTGTCCCCTTTCTACCTGATTTCACTCTGTAATTGTTGATGCGAACAATCAAACTAGATTATCACTTATAAACCCGATGGACGGCGGTATATCTGCACGTCCTCTGAATCAAATACGCCCTGTCCTGGAATATGTCGATGGTCCCAGATGTTTCCGCTGTTCCACTCATCAGTTCTTCTTCTATTATCAAGTATTTTGTAGGTTCGTAGAGAGCAATTGGGATGCCAATGGTGACATCTCAATATCTTTGACTATCGCTTCGCAGCTGCAAGCTCTACAGTGGTGGTATACGATTGGGGTGAGTGAGATAATACGTTCCGAGAGATCATTGATATGTATACAGTATTTAAGCATTAACATTCGGACAAGAGGTAAGTTGATGTCATGACCTTCGCACCTCACTAAGAATGCTTTAACAGTTCGAACTAATCTTAGTGAGCAAAGTCCATATCAGAACCAAGTAGGATGACGCAGTTGACTCGAGGCAGAGGAAACGTTGGTCCTTCATGAGTGTTCTTTATATTTGTGTACGTTATTGTTACTATGAGCGCAGTTGGCATGTTGTGCTGATTTCAACATATGCTAGGTGCGCTACATTGGAATACTATTTGCTGCGTACGTTTACAAGGTTATCTACATAACACTGCAATGTGCTAATAAGTCATATCTCGCAACCAGCATCAACATCCTGTGTATGTGTCTTCAAATGTGTTCGCTCCTTCTGACTGGCGGCATGTAGCGATTCTCCCTTTCTCGCTTACCGATGTAGTACGTATTCTGCACCGATGCCTGTCATTCCCACTCAACTACTAACTGCGCTCCTATATAGGAGTGAGTGATATTCTCTGCTAGCTTATGTCCTCAAGAGAATGACTTCAACAGCTGCAAGTCCATTTTAAGTTTTATTCCACCATCAACTAACTGGGTTTTCAGGCATTATTATTTGGTATGTAGGGACATGGACTCCCGTCATCGTAAATGCTTTGTTGGGCGGTGAGCTCACCCGTGGCTTCCTTACTGATATTGACTTGACTGAAATATCATTCAAAGTCACCATGATTGCTCGGATAAATGCCATGTATCTGGGATCTCGAAAGTTGCTCATCTTCTTGCTGTAACCTTGCTGGCTTGTACGATCACCTCCGGAGTTATGGTGGTAATTGGAAACCTGACTGTTTCGTCGCGTAAGTTTTAATCATTGACGAAAGCCTGGAGCACAAGAGACTCACGGACATTTGTTAGAGGAAGCCGACTTTTCCGACTATTATATTTGCATTGACTCCATGGACATGGACATGACAAATCTGACTTATGAGAGTGTGATATCTACTGCTGTATGGGAGATCCTCGCCTTGTTTCTCACGGTCTGGATTGTTATAAAGCACTTCCGACAATCGCCAACGGGATCGGCCATTGGGCGTTTCAAGATGTTAATACAGAGTCATGTGTTTTACTTTCTAGCGTGAGTTCGATTATTTGGATGTTATTATCTTGTTTCACTGAAGTTCCGCATGTGCTAGCTTTGCTGCTATGGCTTCCTTAAGAATTGGCTCAGTGTCTCTAAATATTATGGTGTGCTGACCTGTGACTGGCATCTGCAGCTGATCACACTCTCACCATTTCTCTGCAGAACTCATTATCCATGGGAAGTGACATTTTCTCTGGCATTTGGTCAATCGCCGAGGTATTGCAGCTGTTTGTGCTGGGACCGCATTTGATCCTCAGCATTCGAACATATCACGCCAAGCTCGTGGCTAGGTCCGACGGGGGAATAGCCATGACGTCTATCGGTGCTTACCAGACTGGTTGACCGGTGGAGATGCGTCGACTTGGAGATGTATAGCACAAAAACCGATCTAAATGATCAACCTCGGTACTGTGCGTGGAGCATGGATATTTGTTTGTTTCGTTGTAACATTTAGCCTCATCTCGCTATGTATCTGGTGTTCCGAAGTGATTGGGTGGACAAAACTTCTTGTACTTACTTTCTGCTACCTAGGATACGGAGTCCCCTCTAGATACAGAGTGGCCATTCGACAATCGATGCTTGAAGCTTCATGAACCCAGCTTTTCAGAGATTCTACTATCTGGAGACTTCTCAGCGCATTGAAACATGAAAATATTCTACGTTGATAAACTTTGTGCCTTCCGTGTATCATGAACCTGTTTGCTTGAGTGCACAATTTGAATTAGCAATATTAAGAGCGGTGCATCCGCGACTATGCCTGCGCGCAGCAAGCAAGGCAAGGAGTGGTGAAGACTACGACAAAGCCCAGAAGACACTAATAGCATATTGGAAAAGCTGTGCTCGTGGAGTTCCAAGCATCGATTGGTCATTCCGTATCTAGAGGGGACTCCATGTCCCAGGTAGCAGTTAGTAAGTACAAGAAGTTCTATCCTCCAAATCACTTCGGAACACCAAATACATAGCGCGACGAGGCGAAATAAATATCACAACGAAATAAATAAATATGCATGCTCCCCGCACAGTACTGTGGGAGATCATTTAAATCGTTTGATGTGCTACACATCTCAGGTAGTCGACGCATCTACACTGGTCAACGTATCTCCGCCAATCCGGAAAGCAATGGATGTCATGCCTGTTCCCCCGCCAGTCCTGTCCACGACCTTAGCGTAATGTTCTCGAACGCTGAGGATCAGACGCGGTCCCAGCACGAACATCTGCAACATCTGGGCAATTGAATAAATATCACTTCCCATGGAGTTCTACAGAGAAATGATGAGAGAGTGGTCAGCTGCATATTCCAGTCGCAGGTCGGCGTACCATATTATTTGGAGACAGTGAACGAAGTCTCAAGCAAGCCATTGTAGCAAAGCTAGCACATGTGGAACTTCAGTGAAACAAGATAATAACATCCAAATCACCGAACTCACGCTAGAAAGTAAAACACGTGACTTTGTATTAACACTGTGAAACAGTCCCCAATGGTCGTTCCTGCCGGCGATTGTCGCAGTTCACGGAAGTGCTTTATAACAATCCGGACTGTAAGAAGGAAGGCGAGGATCTCCCATGCAGCGATGCATATAGCACTCTGGTAAGTCAGATTTTCCATGTACATGTACATGCCGTCAGTGCAGAAATTGTAGCCGAAAAGGTCATTTTCCTCTGGTGAATGCTCGTGAGTCTCTTGTGCCACAGGCTTTCATCAATAATTAAAACTTACGCGCTGAAAAACCCAGGTTTTCAACGATCACCATAACTCCGGAGGTGATCGTGCCAGCCAGTAAGGCTACAGCAAGAAAGATGAGCATCTTTTTCGATCCGTGATACATGGCATATATCCGAGCAATCATGATGACTTGAATGATATTTCAGTTAAGTCGATATCAGTAAGGCACTGCGGATGAGCTCACCGCCCAGCATGGCATTGACGATGACAGGGATCCCCATCTGTATGTACCCAGTGATAGTGCCTGAAACCTCAGTTACTTGATGATGGAATAAATATTTCAAATGAACTCACAACTGTGAAGTGGTTATTCTGAAGACACACGCCAGCAGAGAATATCACTTACCCCTGCATAGGAACGTTGTCAGCAGTTGAATGGGAGTGGCAAGCATTGGTACAGAATACCCACTGCATCGGTATTCAAATTAGGGAGATTTCCTGTATGCTGCTAGTCAGAAGAAGCGAACACATCTGAGGACGCATACCCAGGATGTTGATGCTGGTTGCGAAAGATGACTTATTAGCACATTGCAGTGCTATGTAGATAGCCTTGCAGACGTACACACAACTTAGTATTCCGATGTAGCGCACCTAGTATGTGTTGAAGTCAGCACAACATGCAAACTTCGCTCGACGTAGCAAAACGTACACAAAGATAAAGAACGGTCATGAAGGACCAACGTTGGCTCTGCCCCGAGTCAGTTGCATCATCTTGTTTTGTTCTGATATAGGACTTTGCTCACCAAGATCAATTCGAACTGTGAAAGCATTCTTAGCGAGATCCGCAGGTCATGACATCAACATACCTCTTGTCCGAACGTTGATACTTGAGTACTGTCTAAATATCAATTGTCCCTCGGAATATATTATACCGCCTACCCCAGTCGTATACCACCACAGTACAGCTTGCAACTGTCAGGCGGTATTCAAATATATTGAGACGTCACCATCGGCATCCCAATTGCTCTATACGAACCTATAACGTAGCTGGAAGAAATGAGCGCCAAGAAAGAGAGTTCTTCTGAGGATGTGATCATATCAGGATGGGGCTTCTGAAGTGCGTGCAGAATCTGCAGATATACTGCCGTTGGAGCAGGACAATGTGTCTCGACGATGAACTCGGTGTGATGTGATGATGTGTATGTGCTGACATGCGCTCTCTATCGTCTTGCCAGCTGACTATATAAGTTGCGTAGTCCGAACAGACTCTAAAAAATACTTCTTTGGGTCTACCCGAGGTTTTCGGCGGTCCAATGGTGGTGTACGGGTACTGAGCTCGGCGGTTTCAGATCCGAAAATGTAATTTGCTTTGAGTGTTTGAGTACCCGACCTAGAGCGCTCGGTTGCCAGACTTGCCTCGAATAAAAAGTCCTAACATCAATAAACACCGAACTTGCGCCGAACCATTCCGTACAGTAGTACTTCATAAAGGACCTCGAAGACTACAATAAACAAAAACCTTTCTCGGCTCCCACATTCAAGTGCTACATCCTGCAGCTATGGTGCGGGGCACTGCCATTGACGCGACCACCTGTGTCCTACCCACCTCCCGCTACTCACCAACACACTCACCCAAGACCCTTCCCCACCTTTCCATTATCCTGCTGTTGCCCTCCATTGCCCCACACATCTACAACACCTTCCTCAGGCGCAGCAATCCGGCTAAACGTCCAACTCCCCGTTCCATCGCTCATAAGAGTTAACATATGGGTGTGATACTTTGTTAGAGACAGTTCGCGCGCATTAACATCATCAGGATTCAGCATCGACACGAAAAACCAGAGAAACGCACCGTAAGGAGATAATGATCGATGATATCTCTAGTACCTTTGCGTGCTCGTATACCTTGCCTTCGACGTCGGAGCTCACGGCAGATGTGCATTCTGTTGCGTTTCAGAATAAATTGGGAAGTGATGTATGGGAAGAGATCAGAAACTAACCGTCTAATATCGCAACTTTGGGACGATGGTAAAAAAGACGGGCCATCGCGAGCTGTTTTAAACAAGTTTAAGAAACGAAGAGAAAGAAACAAAGCACCCCAATTCACCATCTGCTTCTCCCCCACTCAACACATCCCCCCACTCCTTAACCGCATCCCTCCCTCCTTCCATATCCATCAAACACTCGAGATGAGCAGCATCCAGCAAGCTTTCGAGCTCTAGCAGCGCTGCGAAGAACGCGATGAACTCGTATACGGAGTGTGAGTATATGACTTGGGAGGGACCCGGTGGGGCAGTAGGGACACTGGGCGATGACGAATGAGTGGGCGACCGTTTGAGTCGTCTATGGGACGCGTGAGCGCACTGTCGATTGAAAGCATGTGTGCACCATCAGTGTACATCGAGCCCTCGAGCATCGAACGACTCGCAAGTGCTCAAAGCCCTGCCAAAACACGCGCAACAGCCATCTTCCCAACCCGGTTATATCTCGTGATCATGAGGTGCGTGCCTAGTCGGAGCGTGAGCGTGAGTGCGTGGACGATGGTGGTGGTGTTTGGCCTTGAGAGGATTTCTGAGGGGGTGGATTCCGAGGATGGGGATTGGGGTCTGTGTGAGCTTTGAGTTTGGAGGTGGTAGCGTTTCATATGAGCAGAACGGTGATGGAATGATGGAGGTGTGCGAAGGTGGGAAGCAAACTATACCTTGTATATCGAATCCACATGTTTGGTCAATCGCAAGTATGTTGTGAGGTCCCATTCACGTGCGCCTCCGTCGTATAACCTGTCTTGGCGTCAGATAAGTGACAAGTGTGGAAGACAGAACAAAGAGCACTCACGCGGCTTCTTCGCTGTCTCTCCCGACGCATCCGACACCAAGTCATATTTGCCTTCCAGACGAGCTTCCACAGCTGCGAGACGACCAAAAGCAAGTGCTACAGCGCGGAGGATCTGGGTGGATGTTAGCATCGTTCCTAGGATATTGTAGTCAACATACCTTGGCAAAATTGATGGAAGGCAGTACGGTGCCTCTGAAGCCGAGAGACCTTGTGAGTTGCGAGGTGAAGAGAAGGAGATTGAGGGAAGGTTTCATGAGATTGCCGCTAGAAAGAGTTAGTTTGGATTCACGGGCGAGAGGAACATACTAGATACTAGCGACGCTTCAAGGAACGCAAAAACTCTGCCAGTTCCGCAAGAGGCGTCAAGGGAATTATGAGGGTGTACTAATGCCGAGACGCGCTACGATTGAACTTGGTCATGTATTTAAGTGTTGATGTTAGGGCGAAGATGGGACTGCGGACGTCTGATCATTGAGTGAGTGTACACACGCAGTGTCACGCCACTTCAAACATCAGGGCTTTGGACTTGAAGCGAAGGTTACACATCGGAGGTTTGGACATTTTACGTCTTGCAAAATTTCAATCAAAGCATATCTAGACCTGCCTAGAGCATTCTAGACCTAGCCTGGAACGCTCTAGATTGCATTTTGAATGTCACTAGTGGCAAAATGTAGTAAAATGTCGAAACCCCCACTGTGTTAACCGAACCGGCCGAGTCACCCATTTTTTGGTTAACATGTGACTTGCCGTGACCGTCTCGTTTCTTCCAGTTTCTTCATCTATCAATCATTGTAGGTCGAGAACCTTTTCACAGAAAAGGTTTTGTTGTCGTATTAATGTTTTATAGCAATTGGTGAGCACTGGGGTTATGTAGTTGGCATGATGCATGGCGATAAGTACTATGTTCGTTGGTAAGCTATGCTATCCTGACACGAACAACAGAGTATTGTCGTCGGGACATTGCAGTTCGATCCGATTTTGACGGGTAACAAGTAAGTAATTGATGTATGCGCACTGGGCAGCTCTCAAATCTTAAATCTCTCCATACACAGTCCGCACACCAATTGGCCAGCTGCTAATGCTACCTCAAAAAACGAATCCCCCAACCCAAGTAGACTCCCACCCAGTGACTAGGTGGGAGTCCATTCGGGTTTGGGGATTCGTAGTAGCGGGAGAGGTTCCGTCAAATTTTCAAATGTTCATTCAACCCCTTGTGACCCGCTGACTCACCTCGACACAGGACTAGTATTGTTTCAAAGTAAGCAAGTGCTCTGTTTGGAATCAGGGACTCGCTGCAATAATATATATTTGAAGTAGCTTATCTATGGCGATGATTTGGCTATGAGCTTTGTTGGTAAGCTAGGTCGACGGAACTAGATCCGCTCATCTGCTACGCATACTATGTATCCTGGACTAGAACTTTTGAAGGTGCTTTCTTGACGCCTCACAAGCAGTTGTGCTAGAAATAAACCTGCCAGTACGCCACTCCATTATGATTGAATGATGTATGGCACAATATTAATAATTCCCGATAGTCACTAGGCTCGTAACCAGCGCTGCTGTATACTGAAGTAGATGGCGCGTCTACCTCTCAAAGACGTAGTCCAGACTTGTCATGAGAGATGGTCATGCCGAAGTCGACATTGACTCAGGCGTTCCTACCGATCTGTCGCTTGATCGTGTGATGTTGCAAATGCCGCTCTTACCCGTGCACATCCTCATCATGATCATCAGTTCATTGTCAATAATATACAGCACTGACATAATGAAGTCCTGCGGCTAGTCCGTGTTAGAATTGGTAGAACTCGGGAACCGTTCTGGAAAAATGGTTGTGCCTGGCCCATGACAGAACTCTAGAGTATCCGGCACCCGCGGAGAATCTGCCAGACATGTAATTAATAGCACAGTTTGAACTCAATAGAACATGTCTGCATCACTGATCAATATTTAACAATGTCAATTTCGACTCATCTGTCGAGATTGCACAGGATCTTGAAGCATCCTTCGCGTGGGCACCTCCACTCTCGACCAAGCCTTGTGACGCAGATGACCTTCTTGCTGGTCCAGAGAGTATCTCGCCTGACGACGATTGCTCCTGAATTTGAGGCTCTCAAAGAGTCGAAGAGGACCGAAAAAGATGAGAACTTTGACGTAGTTGAAGTACTCGAGGGAAATGCTTTGATTTTGGTGAGTTGAATCGGGTCGAACAAGGAGTAATTCCGCAGGCTATTCAAATAGATGAAGTTAACTGACTCGGAGGTGGTGAATTACAACGGTGAGGATGACGGATGGATGGCCCTGGGACGAGGCAACCGTTTGATATCCGAATCGTCGTTAGGCACGCCGTACGTCATAACTAGTACACATAGTCTAGTAGCATCGGTTATAACCGGTAGAACTGACCCCAAGTAGTTCTACCCCAGTACTTTCACTACATGGTCACAGGCACCCAAACTAATCACTATAAAACCTATGGACGGCGGTATACTATCTGCACGCACTCCAATACGCCCCATCCCGATATGACCATGGTCTCAGATGATCCCGTTTGGTGGCCGTTCATCAGTTCTTCTTCTCTTGTCAACTATTTTGTAGGTTTGTATAGAGAAATTTGGATGCCAATGGTGACATCTCAATATCCTTGACTATTGTCTCACAGCTGCAAGCTCTACTGTGGTGGTATACGACTGGGGTGAGCGAGATAATATATTCCGGAGGATCATTGATATGTATACAGCATTCAAGTATTGACATTCGGACAAGAGGTCAGTTGATGTCATGACCTACGATCCTGCGCATCTCACTAAGAATGCTTTAACAGTTCGAACTAATCTTAGTGAGCAATGTATTGGAACCAAATAGGATGATGCAATTGACTTGGGGCAGAGGCAACGTTGGTCCTTCATGACCGTTCTTTATATTTGTGTGCGTTATCGCTACGAGCGCAGTTGGCATGTTGTACTGACTTCAACATATGCTAGGTGCGCTACATCGGAATACTATTTTCTGCGTACGTTTGCAATGCTACCTACATAACACTGCAATATGCTAATAAGTCATATCTCACAACCAGCATCAACATCCTATGTATGTATCTTCAACTTAATGCGTTCGCTTCTTCTTCTGACTGGCGGCATGCAGCGATTCTCCCTTTCTCGATTACCGATGTAGTGCGTATTCTGTCCCGATGCCTGCCATTCCCATTCAACTACTAACTACGCTCTTATATAGGAGTGAGTGGTATTCTCTGCTGGCTTGTGTCCGCAATAAAATGACTTCAACAGCTGTAAGATTATTTGAAGTATTTATTCCCCCACCGAGTAACTGGGATTTTAGGCATTATTATTTGGTACGTAGGGACATGGGCCCCTGTCATCGTAAATGCCATGCTGGGCGGTGAGCTCATCCGCAGCTTCCTTACTGATATTGACTTGACTGAAATATCATTCAAAGTCACAATGATTGCTCGGATAAATGCCATGTATCGGGGATCCAAAAAGATGCTCATCTTTCTTGTTGTAACCTTGCTGGCTTGCACGATCGCCTCCGGAGTTATGGTGATAATTGAAAACCTGGGTGTTTCAGCGGGTAAGGTTTGATTATGGGCGAACGCCTAGGGCACAAGAGACTCATGGGCATTCACCAGAGGAGGCCATCCTTTCCGGCTACTATATCTGCATTGACTACATGGACACGTACAAGACAAATCTGAATTACGAGAGCATGATATCCACCGCTGTGTGGGAGATCCTCGCCTTGTTTCTTACAGTCTGGATTGTTATAAAACACTTCTGTGAACTGCGACAATCGCCGGCAGGATCGACCATTGGGAACTGCTTAACGATGTTAATGCAGAGTCACGCGTTTTACTTTCTAGCGTGAGTTCGGTAATTTGGATGTTATTATCTTGTTTCGCTGAAGTTCTGCATGTGCTAGCTTTGCTATTGTGGCTTCCTTGAAACTTGGCTCACTGTCTCCAAACATTAGGGTGCGCCGACCTGTGACTAATATCTGACCACTCTCATCATTTCACATGTCTCTGCAGGACTCGTCATCCATAGGAAGTGATATTTACTCTGGCATTTGGGCAATCGCGGAGGTATTGCAGATGTTTGTCCTGGGACCGCGTCTGATCCTTAGCATTCGAGAATATCACGCTAAGCTGGTGGCAAGGGCTGACTGGGAAATAGACTTGACGTCCATCAGTTCTTTCCAGGTTGGTGGAGATGCGTTGACCGGTGATGTATAGCACATAACACGATCAAAATGATCAACCTCGGTACTGTGTGGGGAGAATGCACATTCATTTGTTTCGTTGAAATTTAGCCTCGTCGCGCTATGTATTCACTGTTCGGTGTTCCGAAGGATAAGGCGTGCTCAATTCTTACGATTTCAAGTTCAAGGTGTGTCAAGTCGCAACCAAACAATAAATGTGATGGTATTACATAGCTAGTATGAGCATTCAACTGTGCTACAGTACTGTATGTAGTTCTATATATAATATGAGGATGCTCTATTGTGCTATGTAGCCTACACAGAGCTATATAGTTTCGCAGAGTGCAAATGGCGGCCAACCTTTTTCCTGATGCTATGCCTGAGCATAGTAAGCAAGGGAAGAAGTGGTGAAGACCATGACAAAGGCCGGAAGACACTAATAGCATATTTGAAAGGCTGGGTTCGTGGAGCTCCAAGCATCGATTGGCCACTTCGTATCTATAGAGGACTCCATGTCCCAGGTAGCAGAAAGTAAGTACAAGAAGCTCTATCCTCCGAATCACTTCGGAACACCAAATGCATAGCGCGACGAGGCGAAATAAATATCACAACGAAACAAATAAATATGCATGCTCCCCAAACAGTACTGTGGGAGATCATTTGGATCGTTTGATGTGCTACATATCTCAGGTAGTTGACGCATCTACACCGGTCAACGTATCTCTACCAATCTGGAAAGCAATGGACGTCATGTCTGTTCCCCCGTCAGTCCTGGCCACGACCTTAGCGTAATGTTCTCGAACGCTGAGGATCAGATGCGGTCCCAGCACAAACATCTGCAACATCTGGGCAATTGAATAAATATCACTTGCCGCAGTGGAGTTCTACAGAGAAATGATGAGAGTGGTCAGCTGCATATTCCAGTCACAGGTCGGCGCACCATGATATTGGGAGACAACGAACTAAGTCTCAAGCAAGCCATAGTAGCAAAGCTAGCACATGTGGAACTTCAGTGAAACAAGATAACAACATCCAAATCACCGAACTCACGCTAGAAAGTAAAACACG